GGGAAATGAACTTAGGGTCAATGGTGTGGCAGTCCCTTGACATTCCAATAAATCCCACTTTACACAAAAATGCATGCAGTCTCCCAGACTCATAGTACCACCTTGTGATTGAGTGATTGGAAACTTGGGAGTTGCTCAAATGGCAACACTATAACATTCTAATGAATCTTCTCTTTTACATCATAGTGACTCACACAGTTATGTAGCCTTATGATATTACTCTGGGGGGATTGGACTCCAGAAGGAAAAAACACTTGGGCATCTTAACTTCCCACCAGATCCACATTGTTCTAATAAATCATGGTAATAATGGAGTACTTAATCCATATCCCTTGCCACCCTTTATTGTGACTTAGTCCCTTGCTATTCTTCCAATTTCATGGGTCACAGAGTGACCACTCCAAAGTGCTATCTCTGCCCAAGAAATCACCTTCTCTTGGTAGAAGGCCAGATTTCAGCACCCTCGTGCTCAGAATTGCTAGGGAGGCAACTCCCGAGGTGGGCGCTCCCCAGGAAATCCCCTCTTCTCTTTCTAGAGGGCTACATTCTAGTATTGGACATTGCCCAGAAATTTCCCCTTCTCTGATAGAAGGTTGAATTCTAAAACTTGTGAAGTTGGGGTTGCTAGAGAGGCAAAGCCTCCAAATTATCAACACTCATCCAGAAGCTGGGTGTCAGGAACTCTCTCCACTTAGATTGTGTGGTTCCTGCCTCTACAGCTGCATCAGGTTGCAAATATAGGATTTCCACCTGCCTTGCACTAAAGTAGCTCCAAGGGAGAGGGAAACCCTTCCTTCTGAAGACTTTAGTCTGATCCTAATTCTGCTATAAGAAAAGGGGGAGAGGGGGAAGCCAGTCCAGATGAATATAGTCTTTAATAGTTCAGCACATGGAGTGGATCCTCCCAAAAAATATCCATCCCATAGGAGTTTTCAACAACCAACTCATCACAGATCACTCATATCTATCCTCCACCAAGCAAGAAAGTTCAGGTACAGTCCCTTCCTAGAAAAGTACAATGAAAGTCCCAAACAAAGTCTCCCTCCTACTCCCACCCCAAGCTCACCCATTCCATCATGGAATTCTCTTGATCAATCCTGTCTACTCCTCACATATTCCTAAAAATTCCTTGAGATGAGATTCTGATCCAGTTGGGAGAAATACAAACTATATTTATTCTAGGACATGTTTAGTAGGAACAGGGAACGAAGTATAAAAACAGATTTTTCTTTTTTTATGATGGCAACAAATCCCCTGCTTATTTTTTTTTTGAACCAAGAACATAATTCTTGAAGTGGAGTCAGAAATCTGAGGGTGAGGTTAGGAATTAGAAGATGAGATTCCCAAGCTAAAATCAAAATTACTGTAGCTAAGGGGAGGAGCCAAGATGGCACAGGGAAAGCAGTGACTTGCTTGAGCTCTCCCCCAAACCCCTCCAAATACCTATAAAAAATGTCTCTAAACAAATTCTAAAGCAGCAGAACTCACAAAAAGACAGAGGGAAACATATTTCCAGCCCAAGACAACCTGGATGGTTGATTGGAAACGTATATTGCGCTGGGTGGGGAGAGGAGCACAGTTCTGTGTGGGCGCACAGGCCACAGCCACCCTGGAGCAGGCCTCAGAGGACTGAATCTCGGGCACCTGTGGCAGTTTCCAGACCTCTCAACCCCTGAACGCCAAAGACAACTTAGAAGGTCAGTGGGAAAAGTCTGTGACTGTGGTGAGAGAGGAGCTAGGTACATTCTCCACATTGTAAGGAGACTCTTACCTTAACAAAGAGTTTAAAACTCAAGTAATTGGCTGGATCATGAGTAAGCAGCGAAAAAAGAGTCAGACTGTATTATCTTACTTTGGTGACAAGGAAGATCAAAACATACAACCAGAAGAAGACAACAAAGTCAAAGCTCCTACATCCAAAGCCTCCAAGAAAAATACAAATCAGTCCAGGCCTTGGAAGAGCTCAAAAGGGATTTTGAAAAGCAAGTAAGAGAGTAGAGGAAAAACTGGGAAGAGAAATGAAAATGATGCAAGAAAATCATGAAAAACAAGCCAACAGCTTGTTAAAGGAGACCCAAAAAAATACTGAAGAAAATAATACCTTAAAAAATAGCCTAACTCAAATGGCAAAAGAGGTTCAAAAAGCCAATGAGGAGAAGAATGCCCTAAAAAGCAAAATTGGTCAAATGGAAAAGGCAGTCCAAAAGATTACTGAAGAAAATACTTCCTTCAAAATTAGAATAGAGCAATTGGAAGCTAGTGACTTTATGAGAAATCAAGACACTGTAAAACAAATCCAAAAGAATGGAAAATTAGAAAACAACGTGAAATATCTCATTGGAAAAACAACTGACCTGGAAAATAGATCCAGGAGAGAGAATTTAAAAATTATTGGACTATCTGAAAGCCATGATCAAAAAAAAAAAAAAGAGCCTAGACATCATCCTCTAAGAAATTATCAAGGAAAACTCTCCTGATATTTTAGAAGCAGAGGGCAAAATAGAAATTGAAAGAATCCACCAATCTCCTCCTGAAAGAGATCCCCAAAGGAAAATTCCTAGAAATATTGTAGCCAAATTCCAGAGTTCCTAGGTCAAGGAGAAAATATTACAAGCAGTCAGAAAGAAACAATTCAAGTATTGTGAAAACAATCAGGATAACACAAGATTTAGCAGCTTTTACATTAAGGGACCACAGGGCATGGAATATAATATTCTGGAAGGCAAAGGAAATAGGATTACAACCAAGAATCACCTACCCAGCAAAACTGAGTATAATCCTTCAGGGGAAAAAATGGTCATTCAGTGAAATAGAAGACTTTCAAGCATTCTTGATGAAAAGATCAGAGCTGAATAGAAAATTTGACTTTCCAATACAAGACTCAAGTGGAACATGAAGAGGTAAACAGGAAAAAGAAATCATAAGAGACTTATTAAGGTTGAACTGTTTACATTCCTGCATGGAATGATATTTGTAACTCATGAGACCTTTGTCAGTATTAGGGTAGTTGGAGGGAAAATATATGTATGTGTATATATATATATATATATATACATAGATAGATAGATCAACAGGTAGATAGATAGATAGAGGGCACAGGGTGAGTTGAAGATGAAGGGGTCATATCTGGAGAATAAAATTTTGGGATGAGAGAAGATTATACTAGGAGAAGGAGAAAGGGAGAGGTAGAACAGAGTAAATCATCTCACAAAAAATAAAAACCAGAAAAGAAAAGGCTCTTACAGTGGAAGGGAAATGGGGGAAGGTCAGAGGGGATAAGTGAATCTTATTCTCATAGGATTTGACTTGAGGGAATAACATACACACTCAATTGGGTATGGAAATCTGCCTTACCCTACAGGAAAATGGGGGGGAAGGGAACAAGAGAGTAGGGGGATGATAGAGAGGCGGGCAGATTGGAAAAGGGGGTAATCAGAAGCAAATACTTCTGAGGAGAGACAGAGTCAATAGAAAGAAAAGAATAAATGAGCGGGGCGGGATAGGATTAAGGGAAATAGAGTTAGTTTTTCACAGCATGTCTACTATGGAAGTATTTCGCATAACTGCACATGTATAACCCATATTGAGTTGCTTGCCTTTTCAATGAGGGTGGGTGGGGAGGGAGGAAGGGAGAAAATTTGGAACCCAAAGTTTTAAAAACACATGTTTAAAAAAATGTTTTTACATGCAACTGGGAAATAAGAAATACAGGAAATGGGGTACAGAAATCTATCCTGCCCTACAGGAAAACAGAAGGGGAAGGGGATAAGAGAAGGGGGGGAGAGATAGAAGGGAAGGCAGACTAGGGAAAGGGGTATTCAGAATGCATGCCATTTGGGGTGGGGGAGGGGCTAGATGGGGTGAAAATTTGTAACTCAAAATCTTGTGGAAGTTAATGTTGAAAACTAAAAATAAATAAATTTATTTAAAAAAAATTACTGTAGCTACTATGACCAGGGACTCCCAAACAAATAAATATCCATCAAGTCAACAAGGTGAAGCATAAACAAGTAACACCAGCTAAAAGCTTCCTTACATGATGATGAGATCAAAAAAGATGAGGACTGACGGAAAAAAATCCATTGGGTTTGGCTATTAAGATCAGTGGTAACTTTGGAGAAAAGGTGTTAATTATGAAGAAATCAGAAACCAGATCACAAGAAGTTGAGAAGTAGGGAGACAAGAAGAAATGGAGGCAAAGACAGTAGACTATTTTTCTTCTTTCTAGGAGTCTGGCTATGAAAAGGAGGAGAGATATAGGATGATACTAACTTGAGGTGGTGACAGAGTTAAGTGAAGGTCTTTTAGAAATGGGAGAAACTTGGGTGTTTCCTGGGATTGAGGAATGAGCCAGTAGGTATATTTCCAGGTAGCAAGGAATGAGACAGTAGAAAGGGAGAAATTGAAGAAATGGGGTGGGGGGAGAGGCAATGAATTGGCTGGAGAATACAAAAAGTGGACAGGATAAATTCATCACTAAGCATCTACAATGTGTCTGGCTCTGGAGATTCAATGCCAAAACTGAATAGTCCTGCCCTCGAGAAGCTTACTAAGGAGGTTACAAGTAGAAGCAGAAGTCTATCTGAGGGAAGTTACTTTGTTAGTCACTCCGTTTTCAAATGTAGAGTTGGAACCCAAGGGTCAGGGAGGGGGGTCGGGTGGGGAGGACAAGAATCAAATTTGTCCACTACTGTAGCTCCCTTAAACTCCCCAAAAATACAGTTTAACAAATATAGTTAAAGCTTATGTCAAGAGAAAAGATAGCTCTCGAGTCACATCCCTCAAGATAATTAACCCGGCTGATAGCTGCACAAATCGACAATGCACCTTTCCCCGTCAAGGCCAGTAACAGTGGAGAACGAGCAGCTCCACAAGCCTGCTGACGCTAGAGCGAGAAGAGAGCGGCGACAAGGAGGAGCCATACTCCCCTACTTCCTTCCACATTGGCCAATACTTGGATGCTCCCACCCCAGCTCCACCTCCGAAGTCCCTCCCAAGTTCATTCTCCAGAGCATCCGCTCCCACCCCCACCTTTCCCTCTTTCGGCTGATTGACAGAAATTCTGGCCACTTCGGACAGCTCCTTTCTTAAAGCCTTCGGGGAAGGTGGGTTTGGACGCGTCAGGTGCTGTGCAGAGCGTCAGGATACTAGCAGGTGAGCGGGCCTTGGCTCTGTGCTTTCCCTCCAACGTCTTTCTTCACCACCCCATCCCCCACTCCCTGGGATCCCTGGTCTGTTGGGGCGGGAAAGGAGCCCCTGACCCCTCTTATTCCCCATCCAGGTTGAAGCCGGAGATTTAGAGCCCCGGGGGAAGGAATGTGGTTCGGAAAGGGGCGGCGATTCCCCTTGTTTCTCTGGGGAACCCACACTGCGTCTGCATGCTTATACACTCCCGCACATTGAGATTCGATTACGTGCATGCATGCTCATGCATACTTACACATATGGAATGCATCCTGTACACAAGCACGTATGCACACGCAGCCCACAGGGTTATGTAAACATAAACACTCTAGCTCGCGCACACACAGAGCTCACCTTGTAAACACACCTTATATAATACGTGTGAGTGATGTTGAGGAAATGAGAATTCATCACCCAATGCGGGCTACTTGCTCTAAACGAAGATAAAGTAACTCTGTTAAGTAGCGCCATCTCCCCAACCCTTAACTCCTCAAGGACACCTAGGTCCCGGTTCTTAGTCCCTTTTCATTTTCTCAGAGAGCCAAACCTAAATTTCTTCTCCCCTCTTCGGCCTACCCTTGGGCCCCGCATTACCCCCACCTCCCCAAATCCACCTCTTCACTTGCAGTGTTCCCTAGTGGGTTAAGAGAATTAGGATCTAGGACACGGCAAAACTGCATTTCTTGGTGCACCATAGCTAGTGGAGCAGAAAGAAGCTCTGCTTTGTCTCCTTCCCACCCCCTGCTTCCCTTTTTAGTGGAACAGGCTAGGTTGATGTCATTGATGTAGCAGCTTCTGTTACAAAACACTAGAAAGCTATTTAAAAAAAAATGTAACCTTTCTCTAACTTGCTTTGTTGGCCAGCGAAAACAAATGCCCCTCCCCCCCGTCCACTATTGCTGACTTCTGCAACAAGTTGGAGGAAAATCAGACGTGTTTCATAACCCATTTTAGCTATGGGCTTCATTATGGAGATTTGGTTTGATCCTCCCCCAACCATGTCAAGTTTGGAGAAGTTGGGATGGGGAGAACAGAAACTAGCCAAAAATGCCCAAATGTGCAGCTTATGAGAATGAATTAGTTTGTGTTTATGAAGATCTCAGTTCTACATTTACATGCACTTCAAAAGTAAGTTCCGGAAAGTAGGATTTTTGTGCCGTGCATAATTTGATGGGTATATTCAGTAACAGCCGAAGTAAAGGGGAACACAACAATTCACTGAAGAATTCTTAGGCAAAAATACTTCCTCAGTGAAGGTGATTAGGCAGAAAATGATTTGGGAGTCCTTTGTAATCTGATTTACCACCAATAAATGCTTACTGAAGCTTGGTGAACCTTGACCTCTTCATAGATATGTAGAGCTGGGAGGGACCTTGAAGTAGGTGATGTTAGGGAATTGAGAACTTATTAACCAGATGAGGTTCCTTGCCCCAGAAGGAGGATAGATTGAGTAGTGGAGGTAGACAAAGAGGCGAATCTGTGGTGCAGTTATAGAGTGCTGGACCTGGAGTTAGAAGACCAGAGTTCAAATCCACCTTTACAAGCTAACTAGCAGTGTAACTCCAGGCGAGTCATTTAACCTTTCTCAGTTTACTCAGCTGTAAAATGGGGATAACAATAGCACCTAGCTCACAGGATTGTTGTAAAGATCAAATATTTGTAAAGGTCTTAGCACTGAGCCTGGCAAACCATATTTATTGTTGTTGTTCAAGCTTGTCCAACTCTTTATGAGTCCATTTGGGGCCCTCTTGGCAAAGATAATGGAGTGGTTTGCCCTTCTCCAGCTCATTTTACAGATGAGGAAACTGAGGAAACAGGATGAAATCACTTGCCCAGAGTCACAGAACAAGTGAGTGTCTGAGGCTGGATTTGAACTCAGGAAGATGAATCTTCCTGACTCCAGGCCTGGCACTCTATTCCCTGCACCACCTAGCTCCCCACCCCCCTTCCCTTCTCCTTCCCTAGAGGTCATCAGCTGTGACTTCCTCATTTGACACATTAGGATATAACCTCAGAGTGATTATATGCCTAACTGAAGGCCAAACAAGCAATAGTGGTAGAGCTTGGATTTGAACTCGTGTCCCAATGATTAACAAATCTAGTTTTCATTCTACTACATCGTATCATTAAGTTAACAATGAGATACAACCATTTAGGGGGAAGGTAGAGGTTGCCTTTACATTTCCACTTTAAATGGTTAACAAGATCGTATTTCTTCTTGCCTTTTCAGTGGGTGGGGGAGGGTGAAAATTTACAACTGAAGATAAAAATTCAATTTAAAAAAGATACTTAGCAAGGATTTATTTCATAATATTGAAAGTTTCTTATTAACCTGGACCCAACCAACCTTTCCAGCTTCATTGTAATCCAGCCAAACTGACCTTTCTATTGTTCCTCATATTATAGTAATGATAGATAGCGTTTAAATAGTGCTTTACATAGGCTATCAAATTTTATCCTAACAACAACCCTGTGAGGTAATGCTATTATTGTCCCAATTTTGCCGGTGGGGAAACACTGAGAGAAAAGTGAATTGACTTGCCCAGAGTTGTTGTGTCCAACAGAGAGTAACCCCATTTTGGGGGTTTTCTTGGCAAAGATACTGGAGTGGTTTACCATTTCCTTCTCCAGTTCATTTTACAGATGAAGAACTGAGGCAACCAGAGTGAAATGACTTACCCAGGGTCACACAGCTAATAAGCGTTTGAGGCTGGATTTGATCTCAGGTCCTCCTGACTCCAGGGCTAGCACTCTACTCACTGTGCCACCTAGCTGCCCCTTAGTAAGTAAAGTGCCTAAGGCTGGATTGGAACTTGAGGCTCTCTAACTACAAGTAAAGCATTCTAGCCACTCCACCATCTAGCTGCCTTTCTGTCTAGATATAGGACGCTTCTCTTCCCTACTCCCAACCTTACACTAACTGTCCTCATGCCCAGAATGCGATTCCTCTTCACTTTTGACTCCTAGCGGCTCCCCAGTTTCCTTCTGAACTTAATTCTAGTGCCACCTTTTCCATGAAGCCTTTCCTGATCTCCACCTCACCCCCAGCTGCTAATGCCTTCTTCCTAAAATTATAGAAGCATTACCTTCATTGTATTATTTGAACTGTACAACCATTCTGTGAGGGCAGGCAGGCAATAAATATTAAATATTTCTTGTTGTTGCTGATCAGTTGTGTCCAACTCTTCGTGACCCCATTTGGGGTTTTCTTTGCAAAGATACTGGAGTGGTTTGCCATTTCCTTCTCCAACTCATTTTATAGATGAGGAAACTGAGGCAAGCAGGGTGAAGTGACTTGCCCAGGGTCACACAGCTGTTAGGTTATTTGAGGTTGGATTTGAACTCAGGTCTTCCTGACTCCAGTCCTGGCACCCTAACCACTTCGCCACCTAGCTGCCCCTTTTTTAAGTACTTAGTATATTTCAAGCACTCTGATAGTGCTGGAAATACAAATACAAGCAAAAAGAGTTCCTGCTTATATTCTGCATTATATACACATAGTGCTTACATTTTAATGTGGGAAAACAACACCTAAAAGGGAGAGTGGGGGTGTGTGTGAAGAATGAGAGTGGAGAGGGAAAGTACTTAGGTACTTTGTAGGTACAAAGGTACTTTGTAGGTGCAAGGTGGAGAAATCCAGAGAGTCAGAAGCAGAGCCAGGAAGGGAGTGAAGCATGACTGGCCTGGGCCTATCTCCAAAATGGACACTTCAGCATGAACTCAGGAAAGAGAGAAGGGAAGCTGGAGAGGCAGAGGGAGGTTACATGGTCAGAAGGCCTGGGGCCCTGAGGGAAATTCTAGGTTAAAAAGGCAGCTGAGGCATGAGGTAGATGCTAATAGGTATTATCCCCACTTTACAAAAGAGGAAACTGAACCTCAGAGAGGTTAAAAGACTTGCTTTTGGTCATATGGCTCATAAGATTTGAGGGTGAGATTGAAATCCATATCTTCTTAACTTCAATAACTTCAAGTCCAGTGCTAGTATATAGTGTCCAGATCAAGGCAGGTAGGAGTCCTATGGTCCTCTGCCCTGGTTAGACCACATCCTGATTAGACTATTCAGTTCAAGGTCCCACATTTTAAGAAGGTTGTTGACAGGCTGGAGTGTGTCCATAGGTATGTAACTAGAATGAAGCTGAATATTGAAAACCAAGAAACTGAGGGGGTCTCTAGCTTGGAAAATGAAAAACATTGCTATCTTCAAGGATCCGAAGTGCTGTCTGGTGAGAGAAGGATTTACTTGGATCCAAAAGGAGGAATGCCAGGCAGATTCAGTAGGGTGTGATGGAAGTTCAGATGGAAATTATGAAGAGACATATTCTAGGCAGATATAAGGAAAAAACATCCTTGCAATTAGAGTTGTTCAAAAGAGGGATGGGCTGCCTCAGTAGCTTATGAGTTCTTTGTTACTTGATGCCTTCAAAGAGACAGGATGAATAGTTGTTAGAAGTATTTTAGAGGGGAATTCCTATTTGAGTGTTGTTCAGTTGTTTTCACTCATGTCCAACTCTTAGTGACACCATTTGGGATTTTCCTGCCAAAGATACTGCAGTGATTTGCCATTTCCTTCTCCAGCTCATTTTCCAGATGAGGAAACTGAGGCAAACAGGATTCAGTGACATATGCAGGATCATACAGCTAGTAAGTGTGTAAGGCCGGATTTGAATTCAGGAAGATGAGTCTTCCTGACTCCAGGCCCAGCACTCTATCCACTTTGCCACCTAGCCTCTGCATTTGACTATACATTGGCCTTGATAAATTATGAAGCCCCTTCCAACACTGAGATTGAATGACTCTGTAAGTATGTTGTGTGACTTTGACCTGGCAATACCCTAATCATCTCTCCAAGACTATAAGTTTTCAGAGCAGCTACCAATATTCATTAGTAGAGGGAGTTCCCTCTACAAAAGAGGGTGTGATGCCTCTCCTTATCCCTCATCCAGGGACAAGGGTCCCTAAAGTTCCAGAATCCGAAGGAAACAATTTCTCATTTTTCAAATACTATTTGTCTGCTTTAGAAACATTTTATAAATGGAATTCCAACATCAGTAGGCAGAAAGCTCGGGTTGATCCGATTTTTGTGCTGTTTAAAAATATGTGAGAGTTAGTGCCTTAATTCTATTTCCCCCTAGTAAATAAATAAAAGCAGACTGTATTTTATAAATGTGTTTGAGTTTCAGAGGCTCATCTGTTTATTTTCCTGTGGCTAGGTAGTACAGTAGATTGAGTGCTGGGCCTGGAGTCAGAAAGACGCACCTTTCTGAGTTCAAATTTGGACTCAGACACTTACTAGCTGTGTGACCTTGGGCAAGTCCACTTAACCCTGTTTGCCTCAGTTCCTCATCTGTAAAATGAGCTGGAGAAGGAAATCACAAACCACTTCAAATCTCTGCCAAGAAAACTCCAAATGGGGTCATGAAGAGTCAGACATAACTGAACAAAAACAACAAATAACATAATCTCTAATGAAGATAGAATTTTAAAAAATATTAGAAACTAACACAATTGACTTCAAGTATAGAATTGTACATAAAAATACAGTTAATGAATTTACATGTTGTTTTCCCTGCTGTCAAGATACCTGACTTTACTCATAAAATACATGTTTATGTATGTATGTATAGAATATACCTTGCTTTAGCAGTAAATGTGTTCTAGAAAAGTTTTTTGTAAAGCAAACCTAATCTTACATAATCTAAAGGAGTTAACTGTTTAAAGGTGTCATAAAAGGACACCTTTTTTTATAAAAGAAAAAATGCTAAAAAGCAAGAAAAAGATAATTTTTAGTGTAGTTAAGGGCCTCTTAAGTATAGCTATAGTTTGATTCATAGTAAATATAGATGGTGCTGTGCTATGCTTCATCACAGTCCATGATTGGAAAAATGAACCCTTCTTAATCATTTATGGGGGATGGAGATCCGTAATCACTGAGAGTTACTATAAAGTGTTGAGAACAATTGATGCTAACATGCCTGTGTTTACTCCACAGATTGTTTTTTGAAAATGGATTCAAAATTCTGCCGTGTGTTTTTCACACTTTCTGCATTAACGTTTTCAATCACATTTTCTCACCAACAAGATGAGCAGAAAATTCTTCTTGTTTCTTTTGATGGATTCCGTTGGGATTATATCTACAGAGTCCCCACACCCCATTTTGATTATATCATGGAGTATGGTGTCCATGTCAAGAAAGTTACTAATGTTTTTGTTACAACAACTTATCCTAATCACTATACTTTGGTGACTGGTCTCTACCCAGAGAGTCATGGCATAATTGCCAATGACATGTATGATTCTACCTTGAATGAAACTTTCTCCTTGGAGGACATGAAGATCTATGATTCAGAATTTTGGGAAGACGCAATTCCAATATGGATTACAAATCAAATAGCAGGCCATAACACTGGTGCCATGATGTGGCCTGGGACAGATGTGAAAATACATGAAGAATTTCCTACTTATTATATGCCTTACAATGAGTCTGTTTCATTTGAAGACAGAGTCGCAAAGGTTATTGAATGGTTTAAGTTAAAGAAACCCATAAATCTTGCTCTTCTTTACTGGGAGGATCCTGATGAGATGGGCCATAATTTAGGGCCTGACAATCCACTCATGGACCCTGTCATTTCTGATATTGATAGTAAGTTAGGATACCTCATCAAAGAGCTGATGAAAGAAAAGTTGTGGAATACTGTGAACTTAATTATCACAAGTGATCATGGGATGACACAGTGTTCTGGGGAAAAAATCATAGAACTTGACCAATATGTCAATCCGAATGACTATTTCCTGATAGACCATTCACCAGTTAGAGCCATTTTGCCAAAAAAAGGTAAAGACCAGTACTGACTGACCTGATTGGTGATTTTAAAAGAGTTTTTTGTCTTTGTCCCTTTTGTCTTAACATAGCTTGATTTCTGTAACCAAGCTAGTGAGCTTAGATAAGAGCTTTTGATCTCATTTTAATATACCAAGCTATGTCATAGGAAGGAGGGAAGGAAACAAACATTTATTAGGCACCTACTGTGTGCCAAGCACAAGTGAATATGTGTATGTATACGTGTATATGGGTGTATAATGTATGTGTGGGTGTGTGTGTAAAATCTCATTTGATCCTCACAATAACCCTGGAAGGTAAGTGCTATTATTATATCTTCATTTGAAAGTTGAAGAAACTAAACCAAATAGAGGTTAAGTGACTTTAATAGGATCCTATTAAGTCTGATTAGATTATTGTACTCTTTCTCTTTTCCTTTCTCTTCATCTTGGCCCCTACCTACCTTTCCAGTCTTATATTTTACACCCCTCTATCCACACACTACAATCCAAAATGCTGATTTCCTTGCAGTTCTCAAAACTCTATGCTCCGTCTCTCTTATTGTGGTGGTGTTTTCAGTCATGTCCAACTCTTTTTTTTTTTTATTGTTTTTTGTGTTGGCTAGGCAATGGGATTAAGTGTTTTGCCTTGGGTCACACAGCTAGTAAGTGTCAAGTGTCAGAGGCCAGATTTGAACTCAGGTCCTCCTGACTCCAGGGCTGGTGCTCTATCCGCTGTGCCACCTAGCTGTCCTAGTCATGTCCAATTCTTCATGACCTCATTTGGGGTTTTCTTGGCAGAGATGCTAGAGTAGTTTGACGTTTCCTTCGCTAGCTTATTTTTATAGTGAGAAAACTGAGGCAAACAGGGTTAAGTGACTTGCCCAGGGTCACAGCTAGTAAGTATCTGAGGCCTGATTTGAACTTGGGTCTTCCTGATTCCAGGCCCACTGTTCTATCCACCGTGCCACTTAGCTGCCCAAAAGTTACTAGAGAATGTAGGCACATAGTAAGAGCTTGATAAATGCTTATTAATTGACTGAAACACCAAACAGTAAAATAAATTTCATCTGCATTTTTAAAAACTGGACTTGTATGGAGGTATCAGTTATTTTGCTGAAGAGTTGCTTTCTAGGAAATATGATTGAGAAAACAAATTTCATTTTCCCATTGGCTTCCATTACAAAAATTCCTGTGCTTCCTCAGGGGAAAAAGAAAAAAAGGAAAAAGCTCCAAGGAAAACATGGTGAAGAAATGGGGAAACTGTGTCTTGGTCTGTGTCATTCAGAATGTTGTGGTCATTGGGTGTGGTTGGTCAGAATTTTGAGGTGCTTTGCCAGCTTCCTCCCCTACACTTAGCTGTTCTTTAGTTTTCAATGGATCTCCTAATTCCACATTTTTTTTCTACCTCCTTTCCTGCTTTTGTTTGGGTATTAGCCATGACTGACCAACTGTCTTGCAGACTCACAATTGTACTGTAATCTTTTATTTCCCTAGTAAGCGCCTCTAATCATGCATAATGCATTCCAAGTGGAAAATTCCTTAAATTGAGGTTTCAGGTTCTGTCAAATGATCCAGTGCCCCCAGTTTATTAATTCTTTAAAGTGAATTCACTTAAAAACAAAGAACAAACTCTTTGGTCTCCCTGTAATGGTGACACATGGTAGGGAGGGGCAGGGTTGGGGAGGGGCCAGGGAGAATTTCTCCACATAAGAAGACTGAATAAATGTTGTTGTGTTTGGTCAGTTGCTTTTCACCATAGTAGTTCATCTGTGTTTTGGAAATGTTGCTGAGTTACCTTCTGCTTACTCCCTGTATGACCTCAGGAAAATTCCTTTCCCTGCCTAGGCCTCAGTTTCTTCATTTGTAAAATGGTGGAGTTAGACCGGATGGCATCTAAGAGCCCTGTCAAGCTTATTTTTAAAAATTACAATTTTTTAAAATGAAAATTGATTGTTTATTTTAAAATTATGATTCTCAGTGACCAAAAGAGCTTTTTTTTTTTTTCTTGGAGAAAGCTGTTGTTTAGATTTACAATGTATCATCTGGTTTCAGTTCCTTATATTTCTCCACTCTCCTCCAGGTAAATTTGATATGATTTATGCAGCACTGAATAATGCTCATCCTAACCTGACTGTTTACAAAAAGGAAGACATTCCGGAAAGATTTCATTACAAGCACCATCACCGAATTCAACCCATCTTAATAATGGCTGACAAAGGATGGACCATTATACAGAATAGATCCAGTACATTCATGTGTAAGTTTTTTGTGGTATATTATTACTTCAGTATGGTTTTTATTAACATCTATGCCATCATTGAGGATTAATTATTGGTTGGATAACTAATCAGTTAGCTAGCTGGACAGTCAGGTGGCACAATGTCAGGCCTGAAGTCAGGAAGACTCATCTTCCTGTGTGACTTAGCTGTGTGACCATGGTTAAGTCACTTAACCCTGTTTGCCTCAGTTTCCTCATCTGTAAAATGAGCTGGAGAAGGAAATGGCAAACCACTCCAGTGTTTCTGCCAAGAAAACCCAAAATGGGATCACAAAGAGTCAGACATGACTGAAATGAATGAACAACAACAAATTAATCATTATTCTCCACTCATAGTTAAGCAAGCCTTTGTATTCTGAAAGCTGACAATTAACCTTCTTAAAGCAATTTACTCTGTTTTCTGACAGAATCCAGCTATAGTCTCTCCCCATTCTAATCCACCCTCCACTTAGCTGCCAGTATTTTCCTAAAGTGGGGAGTCTGATTATGTCAACCCTCCCCCCTACCCAACACACAGACATTCAGTAAACATCATTGGCTTCCTATTATGTCCAGGATCAAATATAAAGTTCTCTCTTTGGCATTTAGAGTTCTTTATAACTTGGTCCCTTCTTACTTCCCCACTGTTCTTTACTTCCCTACATGAACTGTACAGTCTAGTTTTACTGGCTTGTTTACTGTTCCTCTGATCCTTCACTCCATTATTTCATGTCAAAAACTCTTAAAACTTAGACTTGAGTAACTCAAAAGCACACAACGTTCAGTTTGATGATAGATCCACAAAAGCAAAAGTCACTCTACAGATCCACAAAAGCAAAAGTCACTCTACTGTAGCCACAAGTCCTAAATTTTACCATTTACTAGTGGATTTTGGCTTTTTCCTTTGGTTGGCCCTGTTGAAGGATTGAGTGTGATAAGTAACTAGAAAGCAATGAGACCTAAACTTAGCAGTATTTATGCATCCAAATGAGATCCAGACTTCAAAATAATCTCCTTGTGGCACTGTACACTCATTCATATGATTCTGCTATTGCTCTAAATGTTTTTGGAATTCCTGTTTTTTTGAGTTTCCTTCAGATGTAGCTTACTAACTACACAAGAAAATCACTCTTATAGTTAAAAGATATCTACCCTTTCCCTACCTTGTCTCTCCCTTAATTCCTGCCTCCTCTGCTTTCATTGGCTTTGTTCTACTCGGTTTAGCTCCTCCAAATAAAAACCAAATGCTGGTTGAGAGACAAGGTACCCCAGCAGTAGTGGCTTGGCCATAGGCCAGACTGAGTTTCAGAATATGCAGAACACATCATGGAGCAGATTGACATAAATTCGTGTTCATGCATCCTGTGCTATGCGGACAGTGAGGGCACCTAGGTGGGGCTGGATAGAGCACTGGACCTGGTGTCAGGAAGACCTAAGTTCAAATCCAGTCTCAGACACTTACTGGCTATGTGACCCTGGGCAAGTCATTTAACCTCTGTTTGTCTCACTTTCCTCATCTGCAAAATGGGGATAGTAATAGCAACTACCTCCCAGGGTTGTGGTGAGAATCAAATGGGATAATATTTGTAAAGCATTAACACAGTGCATGACACAGAGTAGGTGCTATATAAATATTATTATTATTATCCTGTGGTAAGTTGATAACCTGGGTGTAATTGAGTAGTAAATTCCAAAGAATTTTAGAATTTAGAAATCAAGTTGAAGACTGTCTATATAGTTCATAGCATGTGGTCTATAGATACTCTGACTTTCCATTTATTGAAACAAACTGCAATGCATTTGTATAACTTCTGTGCAAAAAGATACTTTTAAAACCCAACCAAGTTTGTACTTAACTTTAAAAATATGAAAAACCAAATGTCAAGCAGTTGGCTAACTCATCCATTTTGTTTTTCACAGTAGGTAATCATGGTTATGATAATGAATTTTCTGATATGCATCCATTGTTCTTGGCCCATGGTCCTGCTTTCAAGAAGAACATTTCAAAGGACTCCATGAACTCCACAGACTTGTACCCGCTGCTGTGCCATATTCTTGACATTCCTCCAATGCCACATAATGGATCACTGGCAAACGTAGAGGAACTGCTTTCAGAAATAGTCCCTATAGAGATTCCACATAGTAGGACGACTCCACAGAACGACGTGAACCTAAGTATTTATAAGGTGCAGTCGTATGCATACTTTATGGGAGTCTTCCTCGGTAGCGTGATAGTGATTGTGTTTCTTCTAGTATTCCTTAAACATTTAACTCACAGCCAAATGCCCACCATACAAGAGCGAAATGCTGAAATAGCTCAGCCATTGCTATGGTCCTAAGATTGCTTAAGAATGGAAATTTTTGTAGTTAATTGTTTGTTGTTAAAAGGAAAAAAGTCTGATTCCAGGAAACCAACTTCAGAATTTGCATAGAAAGAACATATAGTGCTTTTACACACACACACACACGACACATACCACATATATACATACATACACACATAATGTACCAACACATAAATACATGCACACACACAAACTTGGACAAAAGTTCACAGTGCTGTTTACCTGCATGAGATTAAAAATATAACTAAGAGCATGTCTTAACTTTACTCTTTAGCCTTGGAAGAGATTAATATCCAATGTTAGATGGAGACATATTAGACATGTGGTGACTTTTAATCCTTATAGATACCTCACTTTTGACTATTCTTAAAAGAAAATGAGTTTTATTTTTAAAAATGTAAATTTTAAAAATTTCAATGCACTTTATAGACTACTGAGTCCATTTAGTCAACTGATGAAAAAGAGAACTTTTCATGCCTATCATTAGCAGACACTGCATTTTCCCTATTATAAGAAGGGGGTGTGATTCTTTGCCTACAAGAGAGATGCAAAAGTTGCTTCATAATTAGGTGATACATCTCCTTAAAAGTTAGGGGACCTAGATTAAGTGAAAACTGTCCTTGGCTAACTAGGCCTACTTTTATACCAAAAAACAGCCAGAAGCAATTGCCTTTGTGGATATACCTCATCACAGGCTTCCCAAACAACATGATTCTCATTGCACTTTTAGAGAATGCTCCATATGAAAGAGTAGCCAGCAAAGTTACTTTAAAAGTATCTCTTTCCTTACTAGCGCATGTCACTTAGCCCCATTGCCTAGCCTAAAAAAAAAAGCCACTCTTTCCATTATAAACTACTTTTCATCATTTCCCACTTAATAGTCTCACTCTGATTACCTTCACAATTGCAACACCAACTTCATCGTAGTCTCTTTTACTTACTGAAATATATAGATAAGCTAAGGGGAGCTAAATATTCTGGAGTTCCAGCTTTTTGACACTTTTCTTGGAGTATTTGATTCTTTTAAAAATATTACTATTAACTATATTAAAACCTAATAGGGCAAAAGTAGGACGTTTTCCTTCTTAAAGTAGAATACAGCCTGTACAACGTCTTTCATTTAGGCATTTACACAACCAGTACACAAAGAATATAATAAAATTAGTAAAGGTATGCTGTACTACTGCTGTGCTTAGAGGTAGGGTGGTGTAGTGGATAGGGAGCTGGCCTTAGAGCTCAAAAGACCTGGATTCAAGATCTGCTCCTGATGTTTATGGCTAGGTGACCCAGGGCAACTCACTAAACCTCTCAGATACATTTTTTTTTGGTCAACTTAAGTAATAACTTTTAAAAACTTATTTTACTTAGGTAAAAATAATACAATGACCTCACCTGAAAATGCAACATTTTACACCTGTACTACCCTTCCTCTATTAAAAAAAAGAAACTTATTTTTTCTCCCATCTCTAACCCATTTTTAAAAAAAAAAGCAATTATAACAAATATGCATAGTCAAGCAAAACAAATCCTTTTAATAGCTATATACAAAAACATGGCTCATTCTACATCCCCACAAACTGTCAGCTCTCTTTAATGGTCCTCTGGAATCATGAATGGTCATTGTATGGATCATAGTTCTTACAGCTTGCAAAGTTGCTTGTTTTTAAGAGTTGTATTATGGCAGAAAAGTGATTCTCTTGGTTTTGCTTATTTCATTCTTCAATAGCTTAGAAAAGTTCCCAAAACTGTTCACTCTCCAAGATCTAAAGTTGTGGAGAAGTTGCCTACCTGCAATGCTTGAGGGAGTTCCTTTACTAGATAGTTCCTTTTATCAGGGAAATCAGAGGGTTGGTTCCTATCCCCTAACATTACAATCAGTATTGATCAAATACTTTTCTTTACAAGTCCCTAAAAACAAAACAAAACAAAGCAACCTTATAAAGCAGAGAGGATTGTCTTAAAGAGCACCTCAGAATACATGTTAAAGTGCTAGGCACACATGAGTCAGTAATTGGTAAGAATTAAGTTTGGGCTTAGGGTTATATGCTCAATAAATACTTACCTAGATAAATAGACCAGCAATTTAAAGTTTTTAAAGAAGAACATTGCAACTTTTAAGAGTCTTTGAGATATGGAGAGCCTGGGATTATGTATTTCATTTAATCAAGACATTAAGTGAATTTCTGCAGTATATGTAAGGTGCTTTGCTAAGTGCTGGGGAGGGAGAGGGTCATAGGTGAATAAGTCTAAGGAATAAGTTTCTTTTCATCCCCATTGAGGACTTGCTGTGTGCCAAATGTCATTCTGCCCCTTTCATTACCAACTGTATCTTAGCACAAAAATGTACTTTAAAGCATTTCTTGAAGGGCTCAAGAGTCTTCTCAGAGGGAAGAGTGAATATTGAGAAAGAAAGGTTTTGTTTTTTGTTTTGTTTTTTTTTCTCTCATCTTAAATAATGGGAAATTATATCATTTCTCTTAGTAGCTAAATTCTCTAAAGTAGGTCAGAAATGTAGCCCATAGAAAATCTTTACGTATAACGATACATATTTGTACTAATGACTAACAAAAACATGCTGTGATTAAGTATTCAAGAATTGTAAGAAATGACGTTTTTTAAAAGTTACATAGTGTATGACTATAACTGCACTTTAATGCTTTCTAAAATAATGTGAACAGATCATTTGTTAGATAATAGTATTACCAATGCTTATTAACACCTGACTTGTTTTACATAATAAATGAATGACAGTACCTAGACTAACTACATGTTTATAAGCTTCTTTAAGCTGTGAAACATGATACTGATATTTAAACTCAAGAATTTAGAACCTGGGTCTGCCATCTCAGAAAATGTGTCAATGTTGACTTTCCATATTTTAACTTACCTGTGATATTGGGATGTTGCTCTGTGGATGATACAATTGGAATGCAGTGGCTTTGAGGGTAAAATGTCCGTTTCTTTTTTTTCCTGTAAATTCAATTAACCCGTATTTTTCCCCATTCTAGAAGTTGTTAATACTGTAAACAGTAAGGTATAGCAAAAATTATTTAATAATGAAAATCAACCTTGTAATAATTCCATTAAAATTAAGATTCTAATATACATCTCTAATCCTTTAATTTCTAAATATCTGACTTTCTACTCTTAAGCTATCAAGACAATGTTGGAAAATGAATCAAGGTGGGTGTGGGCTAATCCTAGCTGGTGGGGAGATTGAGGCTGTAGGATCTCTTGAGCTTGAGAGTTTTGGGCTGAAGCAGGCTAAGCCTACTGGGTATCCCCGGTTAATCTGACATCAATATGGCAGGCCTACAGAAGGGGTAAACTGTCCCAGGTCACAAATAGAACACATAAAAGCCACCATGTCAGTCAGTAGTGGAATCAGCCCATGGGTAGCCCCTGTACTTCCAACCTGGACAAAATAGGGAGACCCAGTCTTTCAAAAAACAAATCAAGGATGGAGAATAAAACTTCAAACACAATTTCCATTTTTAAGTTGCTTTCTTCAGGATCCTGGCTTTCTTGAGGATTTTCTTGTGTGAATCAATCAAAAAGTATTTATTAAATGTGTTACATGCCAGGAATTGTGCTTGGTGTTGGAGATAAAAGATAAAAATGAAACAATACCTGCTCTCAAGGAGCTCACATTCTAATAGGATAGACAATACATATGGAAGGTTTCAGTTGCGGGCCAGATGGAAAAATTCCATGGTCCTTGGGACACAATGGCAATTCAGATATTAAAGTCTTCTTTCATGTCCTTACTTAATGTCACTGTTCCCAAGACTCTTAGGCTGTCCCCATTAGAGTTTAGACAATCTACAAAACAATAAATCAAGCCCTGTGACATTTGCCAATTTCCAAGGCTTCCATTGCTCATGTTGAAAATGTAACAGCTATCTCTCGAGAACTGGTTCAAGAAATGGTGGTCAGGGTGGTGGTGGTGTTTTGACTTGTCTGTCACATGTTTCCTCCTGTGTCTCCCTCTGGGTGACTTGATGCTTCAGCTAAATTGGCATGCCTGCCCTGTATGTGGCAGTTAGTTGGTATTTGCCGGGCATGACTGACCCTTTCTTCACAGAAGTTGCTTCCCTGGATGATGGCTGTGAGAGCTGGGATGGCAGACAACTGTATGTATGGTCAGATTACCTTCTGGTTTTGGCAACTTTGGTGTAAGACGTTTTTTAAAACTTTTTTTTCTTAACTTTTTTTTGTGCCATGAACTCTTTCTTAGAATTTTTTTAAATTAATAAAATCAAAAATATAGGACTATGTAGAAAAATAGCTATGCTAAAATACATTTACCATTTTATCCCCTAATGTTCAAGGACTCCTGATTCACAAGCCCTAGGTATGGCATGGTGGAGGGAAAAAAAGTTGAAATTGATAGCAAAATGTCCCCCCCTCCCCCCCACCATTTCTCTGTGGATTCATTCATTTCATTCTACTATCCCCACTTTACATAGATAAAAATTATCTATTATTATTATACTGTTAAAACATTATAAAACTGTTTCAAGGTTTGTACATCAACTCCAAGAAGAAGAGGGAACAATATCACCATTATTTCCTTTCTCCTTAATCACTCCTTTTTTGGCCTTCATTACAGATTTCTGGTCCCTAGCTTATTGTTTATTGCTTTTATCTTCTCTACATTCTACCTTGTGTAGAATGAAAACTACCTCCATAGACTAGCTGTGTTTTCCCTTTAGTTGTTAGCACCTTGACTGGTGCCACACTGTAAGCCTAAATATATCTTTAAGAAAGCACTGAAATTAGAAAGTCTAATAAATTCCTGAGATGCAATGGGCCTCTGCATAATTCATCAAGCCCACAAATTGTGCAGATGCTGGACAAGGCAGGCAGGTCAGGGATAAAAGCAGTAATCTAGAATCTTAGAAATCTAGGACCAAAAGGAACCTTAAGGAATAGCTAGTCTACCTCTCCCCCCCACTCCATTTTATAAATAAGAAAATAAACCCAGAGACATAAAAAATGACTTGCTCAGGGTCACTCAGGCATTAAATGGCTGGGTTTGGATTTGAACTCAGTTTACAAAGTAGAAGAGAAAGCTAAAATTAAAACCCATGCCTCTAGATCCTGGCCAAAGTTTTCTCTGCTTGAAGGCTCTGCTTCTCTTTCAGAGAAAGATATAAGAAGTCGTATTGTCCATTCTTGACTATGTAATAATAATAATGATATCTAGATAGTGCCCATTATGTGCCAGGCACTGTGTTAAGTGCTTTACAGTTATCTCATTTGATCCTCACAAGAACTCTGGGAGATAGGTGCTATTATTATCCCCATTTTACAGATGAGGAAAGTGAGGTAAACAGAAGTTAAGTGATTTGCCCAGGGTTACACAGCCAGTAAGTGTCTAAGGTGGAACTTGAACTCCGGCCTTCCTGAATCCACGCCCAACACTAGCCCCTGTGTCACCTAGCTGCCACTCAGAGAAGGAATAGACGTAATAATAGAACTTTGGCAGCCGTTTTGTATTAAGTGTGTTTATTTGGGGTTCTGTGACATCATAATACTTCTACAAAGAGACAGAAGGCCTACTTGAGATTTTACTGTGGAAGGTTTAAGAAGTTATCATCCTTTGACCCTTCCAACCTGTTAAGATATCTTCTCCCTTCCATAGCCAAATTCCTAGGGGGAAAAAAAAAGATGCTTACACTAATTTCCTCCACTTTCTCTCCTCCGGTTTCTCAACCTCTTGCATTCTGGCTTCCTATTTCATCACTCAACTGAAACAGCTCTCTCCAAAGTTACCAATGATCCCTTAATCAGCAACAAGCATTTTTAAACATCTACTGTGCTTCAAGTCCTATGCTAGTTGATGAGAAAAAAAAAATGCAGTGAAACACTACATGCTAGCCATGGGCTTTCATGCTAAATTTGTCAAATCGAATTTGTCAAATCTAATGGCTTTTTCTCAGTCCTAATCATTTCTTGATGCTTGACCGCTTTCTCCTGAATATTCTCTCCTTTCTGGGTTTTTGTGACATTGTTTTTTCTTGAGTCTTCTACCTGTCTGTTTTTTCCCTCTTCAGTCTCTTTTATTCAATTAACATCCATGTCCTACCTCCAAATTGTGGGTGTACCCTAAAATGCTATCCTGGGCCCTCTAAATTCTGTCTCTACTCTTTCTTTGTGAGCTCATCGGATCCCTAATTGGTAATATTTACATAGCACCTACTGTGTTCCAAGCAATGTGCTGAGCGTTTTATAAATATTATCTCATTTGTTCCTCACAACCACCTGGGAGGTGCCATTATTATCCCCATTTTTCAGATGAAGAAACTGAGGAAACGTGAGGAAAAAAAATGTGACTTGCCCAGGGTCACACAAGCTACTAAGTGTCTGAAGCCAGAGTTAAAACTCAGGTTCTTCTTAACTCCAGGAAGTGTGTGTATACACACACACACACACACACACACACACACACACACACACACACACATTTATTATAAATTTTACAGATAATGGGGATGTGTAGCACATGATTTACAAAAAAAATATACAATACTCTATTGTAAATTACATATATCCAATTGAATATTATAGAACACTTTGATTTTTTGATAAACGCTTGTATCTTTAGCCAGCCTATACTAGCAATTCAACCATGATTTGATATCCTAATCTGCTATTTTTCCAATACATTTATTGTCATTATATCTAATATGTGACCTATTGTTATTTCTCACTTTCATTACAAATCATGTTCATTAAACTGAAACCTCTTTAAGTTTCAGCATTTCTGATTGTGATACTATCTTTTCATCTTTTAGTATAGTTGCAAAGATTGGAGTATTGATTCTATATTATGATCTATAAAATCCCAAAAGCATTCAAATCAATTTCAGGTTTTAAAATTTCACTAAGATACAATTTTTTTTCCACCACCTATCCACAGTGAAGTTATTTCTTCATAAGGCCAAATGGTCTTAATAAATAAAAATAATTAAAAGTGTTTTCATTATTGTTTGATTAGATATAATCGTGTTGAATTATATTGTCTAAGTAACACATTCCTAGGGAAAGCATTAATTTATTTTTATTAAAGGACATTTTTAAACTTACCTGAATAAGATCTTCAATTTGAGATTGATGCTAATACTAATATTTAAATTTTCCAAAACTTTTACTGCTTAATTTTTGAGCTTCCTGAATTTTAGTTGACCTGGACTGCAATACATTTGAAAGTAATGAAAATTCTTACCAATCATTAAAGGTCTTGCAAGAAAGTGTTAGCTAATCTCTTTGCCAAATCATAATAAGAAAAATACACATGTAATGCAGAATATGAATGCCATTCAGTAGCAGCTACCTACAAACTATATGGCTACCATTCTCAAGTCTTAGTATTCAATCAATTTAATAATTTAAATTTCTTTTGCTACAGTTTCCAGCTCAGTTTAACTTTTATTAGATTGTTGATAAATTTTATCCAGAAATATTTTTAAATTAATTTGTTTCATTTCGAATATTGCATCATCAAATGACAATTAAAATCAATGATTTAAAGGCATGATGGAGCCAAAATGAATTAATGATGTGGTTTTTTTTGTTTTGCTTCAGGTGGGGGAGAGGTGAACCACAAGGCATCTGGCCTGGCATGCCTTATGCTCAATTAGTAAAATCGGTTAACATCTGAGTCTTGTTTATATGCCTCCATATACTTGTTCCCCAACTCCACAAAGCTTTTCATGTCTTTATGAAAAAGGATTGAAACTTGTTTTTTCATTACTTAAGTTTCTCCCAGTACCTCTCCAGTATCCCAGAGCAGATAAGTGACTCAGTGGATAGAGTGATGGCTCTGGGGTCAGGAAGACTCTTCCTCTTGAGTTCAAGTCTGGCTTTAGACACTTACAAGCTGTGTGACCCTGAGCAAGTCACTTAACTGTTACCCTCAGTTTCCTCATCTGTAAAATGAGCTGGAACCACTCTATTATCTTTGCCAGGAAAACCTCGAATGGGGCCATGAAGACTTAGACAAGACTAAAAACGACTGAATAACAACAAATCCCTCCACTGTTACTTCATAGAGTTATCCTACATAACAAAGGATTTTTTTGAAATTAAAAAAAAGAAAA